CCCAAGTTTAGGCATTATAATACATATATTTCCGCAGATATATGCACACATACATTCATATATATATCTGACTCAGTTTTTGAATATGACAAACATAACCTACGACAATTTCTTTGTCGATAAGCACATGCCTAGCCTTGTAAAGTATATATATAGAAAATAATAATTTATCATTTTTTAGACTTGTAAGAAATTCATAAGACAAAATTTTTTATAGTTTTCTGCATTAGAATCAAGAATCAAATATTCAGCATTAGAAACAAGTTTTTGTCATTTTCTTCAGCGAACCATCAATATTTGTTATTAATGTATATTATTATTATTTATATATATTATTATTATCAATATATATTATTACTATCAATATATATTATTATTATTAATGTATATTATTATTATTAATATATATTATTATTATCAATATCAAATATATTCATTATTATTGGAATAGATTATACTTCATTTTCATATTAAATATTATTCGAACTTCATTGCATTTGCGAATCGAGCAAAAGAAAAAAAACTGCAATTTTGAATGACTCAGCAACAGAAGCCCCTATATATAATATACAATATATAGAAATAGAATATATCAGATTAAAATAAATATATATATATGGAGAATAATACAAATGTAAGCAAGTCGAGTTGTTTTCCATTTTATATAACTTGAGTAAGGCCTGCGGCCGAAAGATAACAAGAGTTTACAATACTTTTCTTCTTTTTTTTCTTTAGGTGCTCGAAAATAGAAAATAGACCATAATGAAAAATGAAAGAAGAACAAAAAATGGAATTGTATCTGCGTGTGAGCGCAATTACAATATGCTCTCCCCGCTCGACTCGGGTCTATTCAGTTTAGTTCAGTTCAGTTCTATTCTATTCTATTTTATTCTATGTGGTACGCTTCGGTTCTCTATCTAATCTACTTTTTTGGCTTGCCCCACAGAACGCGACGTTGTCAATGCCAAAAGAACATTGAGAACAAAAACAATGCGACGACAACGAATAGATCGTAAATGTATATACGTATATGCATTAACAACAACAACAACAACAACAACAACAATTGAGAAAATTAAATGTAACATGACATTGAAACAAGACAAACGCAACAACAACAAAATCTGATACCTTTGTTATTGTTGTTTGTTGTATTTTGAACAATTTTCAAGATTTTCGCAAACACGAATTTTTATTTGAAAATAAAAACAACATCAAAAAAAGGGAAATAGTTGCTAAAGTAATAAAAACGAACGTATTACGTAAAAGAATCCTGCTTTAAAGTACTTGAACCCATTTTGAACTCTTGTAAACATTGTCGAAAACCACTTGAGAGCTGCCTCAGGCCAGCTAAACTATTAGATAATTGTGCTTTATTTGTTGTCGTCAGAACATTTGAAACTTGTTGGGTTAGTCTTTAGTTTACCTCAAGCAGAAATCACAACCTGTTCAAAAAACACCATATAAGCATTTAAATAAATACAAAACAGGAAGAAAGAAACTTTAACAATAAATAAGTTTAAAAATAAACTCGAAAAAAAGGCAAAAACTGAAAAATCTACAATAAAATCTTTTATATTAACTAAAAATTAGAAAAAGATAATAAAATATCATTTAAAATAATGAATATAATAATAAAAGTCTACAATAAAATAACTGTAAGTCGTAATTTTTTTAATGTATTTTATATTTAATTACACTTAATCCTTTTTGTAATAAATGTCGAAAAATAAAAAATACAGTAAAGTCTATGTGAATGCAAATTTAATACAATTTTTTTTTATAAATTTTTTTTTTATTTTTTAAAAAATTTTTTATTTTTTTTTTAATTTATTTTTTTGTTGTATTATTTTTTAATATATTATTTTTTTTTATTTATTTTTTTTTAATTTTTTTTTTCTAATTTTTTTTTTATTTATTTATTTTTTATTAATTTTTTTTATTTATTTTTATTTTTTTTTATTTCTTTTAGTAAAGTTATTTGTTAACAAAATGATAACAATAAAAAACAGATGTTTGGAAAATATCTAATTTTCTTATAAGCAACTGTTGACATTTTTGAAATTTTGCTTGCATTCTTTTTTAATTTCAAGTAGTCGAATAGCAGATACCCTGGCTGTGCAGCAAATAATTAAAAGACTTCGCGATATTGAAAATTCTTGCTTCAGTTTTTTTTTGATATGTGGAACAAGCTTAACATAGCCTGTTTCCATCTGTGTGCCATTTACAGGGTATTGCTTTGAGTTGTTTAAACAATATGATTGTATAAATTGCAGATAGCTAGCAAAATGGGAAAGCAAAATGTTGGCTCATGCGTCAGAGCTCACAGCTGGTTGTTTCATATTTTCGTTTGAAATGTATCCCGCAGATACAGATACAAATGGCTGTGGCTATAGCTAAAGTGTTGGTGCGTAATCTAGCTATGCACATTTTGGCCAGAAACCGATGTTGTTGTTGTTGTTGTTGTTGTTGTTGTTGTTGTTGTTGTTGTTGTTGTTGTTGTTGTTGTTGTTGTAGTTGTAATTGTTGTTGTTGTTGAGACTCTCTCAGCTGCGGTGCGCGGTTCATTGTCAATGTCAAAAAGCTGTCGACTGGTTTTTTACGTCTGTTGTTGTTGCTGTTGTTGTTGCTTTTGCCGATTGTCTTGTAATTAACCAACAACTAGCAATTGTTGTTGTTGTTGTTGTTGTTTGCGGTTGTTTTGTGCTGACATTGATGCGGGTTTAATGCACCGCCAGCCGCGCTCTCTATGAGCCGCTTTAATGACTTGGCTAGCAAAACATTTTTTGATTTTTTTGGCTAGAGCCGGCTAATGAAGCAATTAGGCGTCGACTTTTGCACTCAACAACAACAAGAATGTAAAAATGTGTAAAAAGGCAGCCAAAACTAAAGGAAACAAGTTAGCGATTGCGACACTCGAGCGTGCTTGCTACTAGATACCCTATAAACAGCGCAAAGCTGTCTTAACATGCAGTCAAACTTCCTGTGAACTTTTCTCTCTCTCACACACACGCAGAGATCGCAAGCTCTTTACGCAACAGCTGTGCTGCTTCTTCTTCTTCACGCAATTTGTAACATCAAGTAACTCCCAGCTGTATTGTCCAATTGTGCTACAACTTTCAGAGCTTACAAATGAACTTCAAGTGCGTGCATATACCAAAAATGTCAGCTATAGCTCTTGTAGTTTACAATCTGGCCTAAAGGGCAAGACAGTCTTCAAGTCTAACATTCTCGACATATGCCAAAAACCCAAGCTGAACATCGATATTTGTCTATTTTGAAAAGATATTCAAGAATGGATGTAGGATCTCTGAGAACCTAACGTTTGTTTAGACAGAATATGCATAAATCTGCTGACCAAACAATTAAGCCCCATTTTAAAGAGTTTGTTCAATGGGTACAGGGTATAATAAATAAATAAATAAAGATATATATATATATATATATAGGGAGAAGGCAGAAACAACAACGGCCACAGAACTTGTTTTGGCCAAGAGAACAACACAAATGAAAGGCAGACAGAGGCGTCTATGGCACACACACATACACACATAGAACGCGATTCTTATGGGCCCGAAAAAAAGAATGAAAAAAAAGAGCCAAATTGTGTACGAAATTACGTAATAACGCAAAATAGACGTCGACTGCGGCGGAGAGTGCCACATGTCCGTCTCGTGTCCAATGTCCGCCTCTCTCTCTCTCTTGGGCCGATTTTACTGTACACGCCGCCACAGTTGGCTAACACACACACACGGCACACACGGCACACACACAGGTAGCGGGCGCAGCAGCCCAAGAGATACGCACAGATGCGACGACAAGTCAAGGTAAAAAGTTACGCGTTTTTCGGCATGGCCACTTACGTATCCCCTGCACGAGATACTTGTGTATCTGACAGATACAAACGCACTGCCAGCCAGCTAAGCTGCATCTGCTCAAGATACTTTCGAGCTGGGCGTCGGGGGTGGGGTATGCAAGCCAACGCGTCACAGATCCCTCGGACGGATAAGCCCCAAACCCCGGCCAGTGGGCGCAGCGCACAGCAAGTAGCTCAAGACCCACGCGGCCACTCGAGATTTTCATTTCGTCGTCGTCGTGGTCGCAGCTTTGTGTCAACCGTTAGCTGAATTTAGGGCCTACGCATTAGCGCTGAGATACATTTTAGACACGCATCTCACTTATGCCACGCATGGAAAATTCCAGGTATCTGCAAGATACGCACAGCCAAACAGTAAAATACAAAATGTGCCAGCTTGCAGTTGTTTTCAATTCCAAGAGCATCAGATACATTTCCTTTTTTTATCAAAAAGCAGCTGCCACAAGAGAACTCTAGTAGGGAGATATCAGCTAGGCATTTCATTTGATAAACATAGAAAATAACTTTCTATATAACTTAGATATGTTCAAGGTATTATACTTAAGATATATACATATATGTATATAGGAAATGCGATAAGCTCATATAACTTGTCAGATACTTTAAAAGTTTTCATTCTGCACAAAGATTTTGTATCTTTTTCGTACTACTTTCTATATATATATATTAAAAAAGCCCAACTTTGTATTCATAATAGATTTCATAAGATTTCAGTTTCTCTCCAAAAACATCTTTTGCATCTTTCACTTTCTCTCATTTCCTTGTAAACCTTATTCTTCAGTTTCTCTTCGAATATCTATGAGTTTTCCCAGCTTTATTCGCTATTTTCTTTGTTTATCTTTTTAATAACAAGAATTCTGTTTACCAGGTTTTCTCTATGCCGGACAATATCTTCGAAACTTTTCCATATTTTCATTCAAACATATTTCAGCTAATTTTTGCTTATCCCTAAGAACTCTTAGATTTCCTAGCGCAATTCTCCTGAATAATTCTTTCGACTTTCTCACAAAGTTCACTTTAAACTGCACAAAAACTAACTATGAGATACAATAGTTATTTCTGGGCTCGCTTCTTCTTGAACATTTTCAGCTTTGGGCATTGATTCGATCTATCCAGAACTTACCTTTTTAATGTATCGCGTAGTTTCTGGCTATTGTTATTGTTATTATTGTTGTTGTTGTTGTTATTGTTATTGTTGTTGTTGTTGTTGGTGTTGTTGTTTTTGTTGCTGCTGCTACTATCCACGGCGATTTGTTGTTGTTGTTGCTGCGTAGTTTCGGCTAATTTTCCAAAACAAATGTTACGGCTGCTGTCGCGTACCATGTTTCGAGAACTCACGATCTATTGAGCATTTCTCTAATGCCGTCGCGGAGGCGCATAATTTTAAATGGGCGCGCTCCTCCCATTGAATGAATATCCCGTCGTCGTGTTTAGAGCTTGAGCTCTATATGGATTTGCTTTTGCTTTGCTAAATTTCTACTCGTTCTCACTCGCACATTTTCGAGATACTTTTTTTTCTCTCTCTTCTTCTTCCTTTTGCACTAGATCTCTTGATTGATTAATTTTTCAATAGATTGCTGCATTATTTATTTTTTCGCACACACAAGAGATGCACGCGATTGAATTATTATTTTCTTTTTTTTTCTTTTTAGTATGGGCTGCAAATAGATTGGAGGGGGGGAATTGAGTATGGGGTGGTGGTGGGGGGGTTTATATTTTGTTAGCATATTAAAAAATTATGAAATGAAAAACATTTATCGCTTTTAATTGAAGACACTTTTTGCACTTTTTTTTTTTTAACTTCAATTTGAGCACTTTTTTATGCAATTTTCATTTTCTTCATTTGATTGGGCGACAACAAAGCTTATGCCAATTTATGTTAATTTAGCACTAAAAATACACAAATGTTTTAATTTAATTTAACTAGAGAGCAATTTAAATTTATTGAAATTTCAATGGGGCGGTCAACAAGAATATGTATATATATATATACATATATGTGTGTACACATTGTATCTATGAGATACGCAAGATCTTTGCGCTCAATTTAAAAGCCAAGGCGCTGGACAGGGGCTGCATATAAGACTATCGCGTGTGTACACACACACACACACACACACACACACAGATACGTGTATATAAGCAATAGGGTCTGGGGTACTGTTCTGCAGCGCGCATTTCCTTTCTGGACAACAACAACAACAACGGCAACGACATAAGGTGGAAAATGCGAGCAGCGACGTCGACAGCACGTTATTATAATCCAGTCAACGTTACAAAAGCAGGCAGCCGGACCGGGGCCGGGACCGGGACCAGGTCCAAGAGAACCACAACGCCATCAATCCACAAACCGGCAAAAAAAAAAACAACAACAACAAAAATATAAGAAACAAAAAAAAAAGAAATCCAGCCTGAGCCAAGCCAAGCGGGGCGCATGTTAAAATTCCAAAAAGCAGGCAACATGGAAATACAAGAACAACATTCATGCTTTCTGCCCCGGCCGCTATCGAGCTGCTGCCAGCCTTTCGTTGATGGCGTGAAGTTTGGCAACGTTGTTGCCGCTGCTGCGCCTCTCTGTCTCACTCACTCTGGCTGACTAACGCGTTGCTCTCTCCCTGTCTTGTGCACGCTGCGTAGCGTATGTGTGTGCTGCTGTGAAGTTTGGCAACGTTGCCATTCGTGTGTTTGCTTATAATTGACGTTTGCACTGAACTGCTGCGCTGCTGCCGCTGCCAACGCTGTCTGACGTGGTTGTTATAGCTACTCACACACATACACATATATATATATATATATATATATATAGCGCAAAGTGGGGTGCCTGTTGTGTGAGCGAGATAGAAGAACAGGTTTTAATGGCCCGTTGTTGCTGCTTCAGCGCACACACGCATGCATACATACGTATGTATAAGAGTATGAGTGTGTGTATGTTATGTACTTTTATGTACATAAAGAATTTATAGCTGGTACTTTTTGTGCTGCTGCCTCTGCCTGGGCATGGCATGGAAAAACGAGTATCTTCTGTGAGTTTGTTTTTGCCGTTCGTCATTGTTGTTGTTGTCCGTCGCTGCTGCTGTGTATTTATAAATGGTTATGTAGTCATGTGTATATACAGTATGTTTACGTATGCATGTATGTGTGTATGTGAGAGTCGCGAGGGGTGCTTTGGGAACGCGCGTTGTTATTTCACGTTTTTCAGCCATTACGTACCCCGAGTAACCCGCTACCAACGTCGTAGATGACGACGTTGTGATATGGCCATGCATAAAATGTAGTTTTGTAGCTGCCATTGTATTTGCTGTTGTTGCCATTTGCTACGTTTTTGGGGCCCTTTGTACATTTTGGGGCGCAGCAGGAAATCACAACTACACGCAAAATGAAGCCCATAAAAATACTTTATGTGCATGTGTTTGTCTGTGTGCTAAACCTACATTATGTGTGTTTGTTTGCATGTGTGCGCTGCCTGTACAAAACGCGCAGCCGCTAGCGGGCGTTGAATGCTATCTCGCTTACACGCGCATACACACTGCTATCGCTCTTGCATTCGCACTCACACACACCGAGAGAGACCCCAGTTGGAGAGCTTATGGCGGCAGCCATTGCTGTAGCTGCCGCTGCTACTGCCGACGTCGTCGTTGGAGCTGCCAATCGATCGTGAAAGTTTTTTGGTGCTGCCTGGCTGTACTAAAACGCCGCTGCTGCGCATCAGTCGCTTTGCATGCCTGGTGGGGTGCGGTTCAAATCGCTATATAATTTTTGTTGTTGCTGCTACTGCTGTGGGCTTGCGCTTTTTTGCGCCTCTGTCGACGTGTGCAAAAATCTATACCAAAGAATTTGAAAATACACTTATAATCAAAAGAAAAGAAACCAGAATAACAACAACTAAACGAAACAAAATACATATTCTGTTCAAATTGTGCGTCTCTCTCTCGTCTCGTCTCGTCTGTCCCACAGTCCACCTTTTTTGCGTTTGTTCGATGCGTATTTTTGTCTTTCTACATAGCCCGGCGGCCATTTTGTTTTTGGCCATTTGAAAACGTATTTGGCTTAAATATTACAGCAACTACGACGTTTATGGCTAAACACTGTGACCATTTATAGATAGCATTTTGCAAAATCCCATTAAGAGGCTGCTTTGGCTAGAATTCGAATTTCATTAATATGCGAGCAGCTGCTGCTGCTGTCGCTGCCGCTGCTCGGGCAGAAGAAGCAACCAAACCAGTTTTCTGCTTATTCTTCTTCTTCGTCTTTTGTAGTCAGCGAACTATGCAGTCATTTTTGTAGCGCTGCTACGTGACCACACACCAACACACTTACAAATGCATACACATACACACACGCTACAGTTGTATAGTCGTGCGACGACCGCATTTGCAATGTTGTCTCAGAGGGGGGAAAAACAAGCAGGGCGGCATCGGATGCCACCACACGCCGCGACGCTTCCAACGCCCAACAACAATACAGAAAACTTTTGTAGTTTTTGTCGTACAACGTAGTTTCTACCAGCACACACACACACACCTTTACAGGCGCACGCGCACGCACACGAAACGGGTTAAATAAAGGTTTTTTTTTTGTTTTTACTGCATCCGGCAGCTCGCTCGCACTCACAGCCCATGATTGTTCCTCTCGCTTGCACGCGCGCGTTCTCGTTTCGTGCAGCTGAATCGATTTTTCAACGAGCGACAAACGACAACGTCTACGTCGACGTCGACGACGACGAGCGACAACGACGCTACAGCAAAACGCGACACGACAATTTCTCTCCATACTTAAGCGCCATCTCGCTTGCACGCACACACGCTAGCGCTTATTTGCGCGCTCGCTCTCACCACTGTATTTGCGTTGTTCGCTGTTGGGGCTCAAACACACATACACACATGCATACATATGCACAGGCAGCGCCATATTACTTTTCGTTGTTGTTTTTGCTACCAACTCGTTGAGGGGGAGCTGTCAGCCTGGATTTTTGCTACAACAATTTGAACGTCGCTGTCGCTGCTGTAGCCGCTGTTGGCGTCGCTGCCGTCGCTAGCTAATGCTGCTAGCGCCCGCCTCGTTATTTTTCAGCCCGTTGCACGTCATCCGTTCGCCTTATGTGCTTTGAATTTCTGATGAAATTCTTTGCTTTCGAGTTAATTGCTGTTGCTGCCGCTTCTGCGACGACGACGTCGGCAGCGACCGCAGCAGCAGCGCCCCTAGGCCCCAAACTGGAGCTGCCTCTGTCTCAATCGTTGTGCCATTTTTCTTTGTGCTGCGCAGCTTTGTAGATCGGCTCTAGAAAACCAGCGAATCGAGTCCTGGGCGTATGCACACATATGTACACACATTTGTATTATATATATACATATATATATATATATATACATCTATATATATTTGTATAGCTTTAGTTGTGCTCTTTGTTTAATTAGGGAAATTAGCATAAACTTTGTGAGGCCGCTTTTAAATTTAGTTTGGACTCTTTTTTAAACACTTGCTTTTATTTTTAAACACTTTGCAACACTTTTCATTTGCAATTGCCAATTCACCTCGTTATTATTATTTTCTTTATATATTATAAGACACTTTTCATTTTCATTCCAGTCGCTGATTTGTTTCCTTACCAATAGCGTTGAAGGCTGTAATGAAAGGAAATACAAAATCGTATTAGAATTCTCTTCAATTAATACTAAAACTGTGTAAAGCTCAAAATATTGAGTATTTTTTAGCTTATTTTGTACTCTGCTTTCTGGAAAGCAGCTGCCTTTCCAGTTTCTGTACTTACACCATTTCCAGTTGGCGATCGTCGCTTAATTTCAAACCGTTTTGGACTGTATTCGAAATTTGTGCATAATTTATATTTCAAAAACCTCCAAACGATCCCGTTTTAAAGTTCGATGCGATCACGAGCCGGGAGTCAAAATATTTTCATTATTTTCATTAATTCGCGTTTTTCACTTGGAATTTGGGCAATTTGGTGAATTCGATTCAACAACAAAAAACCCAACACAAATGCATATTTTTTTAATTTTGCGCAAAAAACAATAAAAAATTTATTTTTTTCAATTTTGTATTAGAATTATTTGTATTTAGATTGCATTTGAAATACTTTTTGGCTTTTCATTCAATTTGCTGCAGCGGCAGCTTTTACGTATTGTTTTTGTTTGTGTTTGATTGTATTTCTATTTGTATTTACTTTTGTTGTTGTATTTGTATTTGCATTTGTATTTGTGTAATTAATGCGTTTTCGCACATAAACACAATTGCCCACTCGCACACACATGCATAAACTTACGCACGTACTCACACACACGCACACAACACACAGGCGACACACTAGCGCGCGTACGCTCCGATGCCGCACACACTCTCACATATGCATTTACACAATTTGCATAAATAGAAGAGCCAGAGCCGTTTGCATGGAATCGCGACGTTTTGTATGGGGGGCGGGGGGCAGCAGGGGGGTGTGATTTGTGTTATTTAATTATCTTACGAATTATTTAAATATTTTTAAAATAATTTTTGCGTGTGTTCGGCGTCTTGAATATTATTAATTTTTGCTTGTAATTTAATTCAGTTTAATTACATATTTGCCGCGCGCGCAGCGACAACGAACCAACCACGACAAAAATTCAACTGAAACTGAAAGAATAAGCGAGTTGCCAGATTTGAATGAGTGAGGGCTGGCATTCGTGGACGTGTGGCAACGCCAGCATTTTTTAAGGGGCAGAAATTGTGCATTTCCCATATGAACAAGGTTGGCAGCTCTACCAGAGTGCTGTGGGTTATTGAATTTGTGACGTCAGGCGCCTTAGCCTCATATTATAAATATATGTTTGTGTTGTATAAGAAGAGGCATTATAACAGACCATATTACTATATTACGAAGTTAAAAGAAAAAATAGTTAACGATTATAACTGCACTGTAACTTGTGCTTATATTTAATTTAAAATGAATAATATATTATACTCGCCGATAAGACATTTGATTTTCAAAACAAAGCGGCACTTATGCGTACACTTTACAACACTTGCAGCGCTGCCAACCTTACGCATAGACAACTGATTGTCGGGTTGGCAGTAAACAAAAAACAATTACGATTATTAAAAATATTTATGCGGTGGCATTTGGTCTACTGCTGAGAATGAGCAATTTAAAGCAGGATCTAGATGAATATCTACTGCTGCAGAGCGATCAGAAAAAGAACTTCAATGTAAAGCTGCCGCAGATAAAGGTGCCAGGCCTGGCGCAGATCTTCTCGCGCACAAGCGAACCGCCCGAGGCAAACAGTTGGTTAAAGGACACCCAAGACTCCTGCTGCCCCAAGCTGGTGGGTGACGCATCCGACCGTATCATTCAATTGTTATTATTGTGCTTATAATTCCCGTTACAGTCACGTCTGCAGCGCATTGTTGGCTTTGTCGCCTGCCTGGGCATGGGCTGCCTGTGCATGACCCTATCCACGCTCTACATTCCGGTGCTGATGCTCAAGCCAAAGTTTGCGCTGCTCTTTACGCTCGGCAGCCTGTTCTTCATTCTCAGCTTTTGCTTTCTGATCGGCTTCCAGGCGTTCTTCAAGCAAATGTTCTCCAGGCCCCGTCTGGCCACCTCCATCTCGTACAGCGCCTGCCTCACGCTGACCCTGTACTTTGCGCTGGTGGCCAAGAGCACAGCATTTACGGTATTGTTTGCTGTGGCACAGATAATCACGCTGCTGTTCATGCTGCTGGGCATGGTGCCCGGCGGGGCGACAGGCCTCAAGTTCTTTGGCCAGCTCTTCAAGAGCAGCGTCTCCAGTTCGTCCAGTGCGCTGCCCGTCTAAATTGTGTACAATAATCATATATTTGAAATTATACAAATTATTTATTAATCGTTATGATAATGCAGAAATAAAACTTATTTGTGATACTAGGACTAGTCCTCTATTTCGCCCAGATACAGTGTCTTGTCGCTGGACCCGGACAGTATCAACGGTTCGCGCGGACTGAAATCCACATCGTTCACGCTGCCATTGTGCCCGGGCAGCTTGTACAGTATTCGCCGGGTGTTCACGTCCCAAACGTAGACATGACGATCGGCTGAGCCGGCGCTGATCTTGTCGCCGCCCGGTGCCCAGGCGCAGCGCAACAGATTCTTCTCAAAGTTATGCTGATGCCCCTGGAACACCTTGACGCAACGCTCACCCGGCGCATAGGCGCGGACATCCCACACGCGCAGCGTATTGTCCATGGCATTCGTGAGCACAAAGTCGCCCTCCGGCGACAGTGCGACGGCCGTTATGGTGTCCGTGTGTCCACGCAAATGATGTAGCACCTGCTGTTTGCGTATGTCCCAGATCTTGAGCTCATTGTCAATGCCGCCGCTGATGACCTGTTCGCTGGTATCGCCAAAGCAAACGGCCGTCAGCTGATAGGGTGATTCCAGCACGTGGGCCGCCTGCTTTTTGCGTGCATCCCAGATGCGTATGGTGCGATCATCGCTGCCGGAGCACAACAGCTGCTGGCCACGTCGTGATCCCTGCACGCTGTTCACAAAGTTCGAATGCCCCTTGAGACGCCGCACTCGCTGACCCGTCACAATGTCCCAAATGGCCAGCGTTTTGTCTGTGGAGCAGGTGAATATATGCGAGCCATCCGGCGTAAAATGCGCCTCCATGACGGCTCCGCTGTGCCCGGACATGGCCATAATGTTCTCACATTCCCCATACACCTGCCAGATATCTAAAGAACAAGAAGTTAGACCAGGAAACATCGGCGATGTGCTTTGCCAACTTACACAGCTGCCTATCGAAGCCCGAGGAGAGCAGCATCTCGCCCTCCGGATGGAATTCTGTGGTAAATATTTCGCCCTCATGTCCTTCCAGCTGCATGATGGGCGCTTGCAGATTGGAAGTGCGCCGCACGCCCTACAATTGTAAATAAGAGTAAGATGAACTAGCTATATCGAAGTTTTAATACCCTTTACAAGAATATCAGATGTGCCGAATATATCTATTCTATACAAACAAAAATTGTTTTTCCAACTATATGATATATGACATGCACATGTTATGGTTGGTGTCACACAGTTCGTAATAAAATTATGATACCCTCTCTGCAAGGGTATAATATAAGCCAACACCAAGCATGCTTCTTCTTCTTCAGCCAGCGACACGACGCTTGCTTACCGATTCGAGCAGTGCCTTGTCCCGATTTGTATAGGCCATAATGTCATTTTTGCTGCGCTTGGGCTCCTGCGCCAGCACCACGCTATTATTTGGACGTTTTGTGCCCATTTTATTTATAAATTTAACTAAACGTATGCGAGCAGATTTTCGGCCGCAAAAACAAATGCGAGTGCTGCCAACTCGCTTGCAGCTCAGTGTTGCAAAGCGCAACTTTACCAACACTAGCAAAATACCATCAGCAGAAACAAATAAATAGAACATCCTAATTTGTACGATTTTTTTTATTTAAAACATATTTCAGCTATACATATGCAATTATTCCCGACTGTGAGCAGCTTAATATGCATCCACGCGTGGTGGCTCCGCAAACAGTTCCTCCCGCTTGCGCTCACCAGTAAGCCATTGCCTGTAGCGTTCGTTTCGCATGGCCTGTAAGAAAAAATACTCAATAAACAGTTGAACTTGGAACATTTTAGGACATGAATTTACATGGAAGCGCATCAACTGCTTTCTCATGCCTACGCACTCCTGAAAGTCGCCAATCAGTTCAGCGCACTGCGTTTTGCCGCGCTCCAGCCCGTAGGCCTCCAGGCAGTCCATCATTTTCATTTCGAACTTGCCGCATTTGTCGTAGGTCTGATGATTGATCAGGCAGCCGGTCAAATCGGTGAGTGGCAGGCGCAGGAAGGGCGTCAGCGACATTTCGGTTGCAGCTGCTAAAAAACAATATATTTGTATTATTTGTGCTTTCCAATTGGAGTATGTGACGACGGCCAGTTCGTCGTTCTGTGACGTAACAATAACAATGCTTCTAGCTGGGCCCTAACACCAACTGATGTCAGTTGTTGCTGTTTAAGCTGCACTTTGGGAGCTATTACACAAAATAGGAGGCTTACAACAGCTGAAACGCACCTTAAATTCCAATCAAATGAAAAATGGGAATATTTGACAATAGACGGCCGATAAATTGTAGCAGCACAGCTGGTCACACTGGCAAAGCAGCTGTCGATAGGTTGCAGCTAGTTGCACTGCAAAATAATCGAGTGTAACTTGTTAAACAGTGTTGACAAACGTTGCTTTGGTTGCACGTTTTGTTTACATCTTAAAGCTTGAGTTTTTGCTCTTTTAGTTTCATTTTATTGAATTAACTATTGAGATAATATGAAAAATCAGGCATTGATTGACTACTTGGCGGCCTGTGGCGTCTGCCGCGTGTGTCAGCTGCGTTATTTAAAAGCGCGCGGCAACGAATATCGTGACATGCAGCAAACATTTAAGCGCGTGAGCAGAAACAAATCAAAACCGAGCGGCTTATCAACAAATATAGACGATCTTAATTCTAGCTGGATGTTGAAGTGTCGGAATGTGCTGGCGCACAGGACACGCCCGATGAGCAGCCGCCAAAGAAGCCGCGCTTCAGCATTTGCTCCACCTGCCTGGGTCTCTTCTCGGAGGAATTTCAAACTCAACTAATCGAAGGAATTCTCAAGTCCGATTTCGCCAATTATGATAGCGAGGGCATTGTCCTGGCCATTAGCCTGCCCATGACGCTGCAGCTGCGCCAGCTATCCATGTGGTTTGCGCTGCAGCGTCAATTTGGTCGCAGCACCGTGGATGACAACTGTCCGCCGGATGTGCCCATCAAGGAGGCGGTCAAATTGATTCTACATCCCATAGTGTGCGCCAGGCTGGGCAAGGCGTACGATGCCAATGGACTGATGATAAACATCGATGTGCGGCACAGCGTGGAGGCGGCGGAAGTGGCCAAGCTGGCGGAGCTTAACCGGGCGGCATTTCCCGCCAAGGCGGCCCACCAGAAACGCATCGAAATCTCACGTGGCCTGCTGGAGAAACAATATCAGCCGGCGCGCATAAAGGCCGAACTCTTTGAGAAATACTTGCCCATACCACCGACCGCCGTTGAGGACGCACTGCAGCTGCAGGCCATCGAGCTGACGGGTCCCCTGATCTGCGTGGCCGGACGCTATCGCAAGCTCAGTCGAGAGCTCTCGCACACGCCTTGGGTGCTGCACGGCAAGCGCATTATGGAGGAGAGCATTGAGGAGATAATTGTGCGGCATGTGGGGCCGCATTTCAGCGAGACTCTGGAGAAGATAACGTTCATGTCGAGCGGCCGTGAGGATGTCGATGTGCGCTGTCTGGGCAAGGGGCGTCCCTTTGTGCTGGAAATAGCCAATGCCCGGCGGAGCAGCATGACGCGCCAGCAGGCCCATCAAATGGAACAGGCGGTGGATCGCACCGGCAAGGTGTCCATACACAATCTGCAGGTGGTGCCGCGCGAGCAGCTGACGCACATTAAAACTGGCGAGGAGCAAAAGCGAAAGTATTATCGCGCCTTATGCGTGCTGGAGCAGCCGGTTACGTTGGATATTCTGCAAAAGTTGCAAATATCGGAGAGCTTTGATATACACCAGAAGACGCCCATTCGTGTATTGCATCGCCGGCCGCTTCACACCCGACCCCGCACAATATTCAGTGTAAAGACGCGCGTTTTTCGGGATAATCCGCGCCTGCTGATCATTGATGTGGTCAGCCAGGCGGGCACTTATATCAAGGAGCTGGTGCATGGCGAATTTGGGCGCACGACACCGTCCATATCCTCAATTATAGGCAAACCCATTGACATATTGGCGTTGGACGTGGTTGGCATAGACCTGGATTGGCCAGCGGATGTAAATAATGCGGAAACTGAATAAACGGCTGTTTTGTTTTGAATTTTGTGAAGACTTACAACACTGGTTGCGGGCACATTGGGGGCTGCGCCTCGCGCAGTTGCGTCAAATGGCATGAGATGCAAATATACGCGCTATGGCGTGACGTCACTAATTCGAATAGTTCATTAGTAGGCCAATTGGCGTAGAGCAATTCTTGAAATCTTAATATTATGATTATTTTTCACTGATGTATTTAGTTGTTATTAGGAAAATAAAAATAAGTTCAAAGTACTTGTTTACGCAAACAAATAAATGTTAATTTGATTTAAGCACTTGCACTATGCAAGACCCGCATACAAAACTTAACAGCTGTGACGTCACTGTGGAGAGCAAGGTAGCGCACTGTTCAGCCTGACCTGTAGAAGCGCATGCCAGCAAGTTGGCAGCACTGCTCTCTTATCAGCTGAGAGCGCTTGCAAGTCGCATACTGATTTGTTTAGTTGCGTTATTTTAACTTTTAAAGTTTATTAACATTCATATATTAAACAAATCGTATTGTCGCGTGTGCTCAAGCATATTGATAAATATAATTAGCTAAATGTGTGACTGTAAACAGTGATTTAAACACTGTTGTGCACATCTGCTGCGTTCTATGCGCATTCTGAAAAAAAGCAGCGCCCGCAAATTTATAAATTATGAATTGAAACGTGCACAGAAAGTGAAAGTGAGTGTTGCACATTGCAGCAGCTGCTGCACACAGTGACTGCAAAAATGTACGCACGGAAAGAAGTGTTTTTTTTTTTTGTATTTTTCCTATCAGTACGCGTCTTGACTTGCCCGCGCGGATTGGGTGTGTGTGCGAGAACGGCCCGCCGACCTTCAGGCAACCTTCACTGACTTCAATGCCTGCGCTGCTGCTGCTGCTGCCGCCGCCAGTGTGCAACACGTTGGGGCCCAATGACGACATTAGCAGCGCCTCACGTGTGTAATCAATAGAATCAGCAACACACAACAGACGACAGCAGACAGCAGCCGAAATAAACAAACCCAGTGCACAGCCCGCCAAACCCCATAACCCTACATATGTATGCCTTTCCGCTCTTCTCTTTGACGCGCCCCCTCTCGCTCTGGCCGGCTGCTAAGTAACAACAATCAACAAATTCACCCAGCAGGCAAATTTCCCGTCACAATTTATAGCTTGCAACCCAGCAAACGCATTTCGCGCGCGCTCTGCTCGCAGCAGAATTTCAACTCGCTCGCTCGCAGCTCAGTTCCGTTCAATTTAGTTGAGCTCGAGACGCTTAGCGAAAACGTTTTGCTTGCGCGATAAATTCAAAAACAAAAAACAAAAACAAAATTAAGAAATTCTCAAAGTGTTGACAGCGTCTATTATCATTATCGTGCGCGCTGACCCAGTGCCTGTCGCCCTCTCACAGTGATAAAAGGCTCGACTGATAACGCACAGACGTATGCAAAGTCGAATGTGTGCATTTTGATTTACTTCAAATTCAATTTTCTTATTTAATTTTTGCATTTAATTAACCCAGTATTTCCATACATGCCGCTTACGTCATTTAAAGCGGCTCTCAAAAAGCAACAACAACTATTTAATGCGCCTAATTTGAATCTTACAGATACATGAATATATACAAATATACAAATAGATATATACGACTACAAGCTACATATACTTGGCAGAAAAAGTTCAACGACTTTTTTGATTAAATTGCAAAGAATATTCATTTAATCTTATTTATTTGCCACGCTCCCTCTGTGTGTGTGTGTGTGTGTGTGCGTGTGTATGTGTGTGTAAACGACCCACAAACGTGTCAGTTAGTGCTTTATAAACAACAACAACAACAACAACAACAACAACAACAACATTTGTGATCATGAACGACCGTGAAATTAGCTGCAATTCGGGCGGCCAATTTATGGACCGTGGACGGATGAATCAGAATGGCGTTGTCCAACCGCTGCTCACCGGTAGGTACTATATTCCAAAATCGGGGAAACTTATCTCTTCAAATATACATAAATATCAAAAATGATCAACAAAGATCAACAGCTTTCAATGAGAGTTTATATGTAATTGAATCGAGTTCTTTTTGAGACCCTGAACCCAATAGAGTACATAAAGTCTACGACCACGTAAGGTATATATATATTCCGACCACATAAAGTATATATATACTCTTGATCAGCATCCATAGCTGAGTCGATCTAGCCATGTCCGTCTATAGCTATAAGAGCTAGTAATACAAATTGTCGAGGAATAAGGAAGGGCTCTCAAAAATGTTTCTCCATTAAACAAAATCATCTTTGGCATCTAAGATAAATATCTTACATTTAAGTAATAATCATTTGAGAAACTACGTCATAAGAACTTCTATAAATATTATATTTTCATTATAGACTCCCTTAATAACAAATAATTAACGAACTACGAAATAAAAGATTCAGATTTGAAATTCATTTTGAATACAATTAAAGGCAAGATCTCTTAAACTTAGGACTGACTTTACCTCAAATAGATCGGCTAAGGTTAAAGTTATAAGAAAACGTATTATCAAGCGTTAAAATAGATCATTTGCTTATTAGATGAGGTCTAGCGCATATAATAGTAAAATATTTCTTATATGCGAGCTATACGAAAACATTAGAAAAACTTTTTATTATTGAACGAGGTCAAGCTCTTAAAATAAATACTCTTTGGAGTAAACAGAAAAAGTCTTCTCATGCTTCCAAGTAAAAATGAAGAAATGTTAAAAATAAAAATTGTTATCATCAACCAACGTACCATATAAATCCGTGATTCACTACGAAAGCAAATACGCTTGGTTGGATGCATTAAAATAAAAAAAAAACAAGTAAGAGGTTCTAGTCGGGAGCTCCCGACTAGGGGATACCCTGAACCCTCTTCTTCCAACATCAAATGCATATATATATTCTATTTAAGAAGCTATATGTCAAGTTTGGTGACTCTAGCTCTTATTATTTACCAAAATTGCTTAAAAAACAGGATATCGATATCGATTTTTATCGATTGCTTGGAAACGGAGTAAGTTATCGATTATCGGAAACAAACTCGATCTGCGCGGGAACTAGGAGCACCTACATCTATTTCAAGTCCCTAGCTCTTATAGGTTCTGAGATCCTTGCGTTCATACATACGGACGGACAGACGGACATGGCTAGATCGACTCGGCTATTGATGCTGATCAAGAATATATATACTTTATGGGGTCGGGGCCTGTTACATACATTTGGATTTCGCACAAATACAATATACCCTTATACCCATTTTTAATGGGTTCAGGGTATAATAAAGGGTAGCCTAAATAGACTCGGACATAGAGACTGAAGTTGATATTCCTCAAATTCTAGAAAAACTAATAACTATTAAAAAACAAATTTGGTTAGTTTTTCATTGAACTGAAAGCGTTTTGCATTTTGCATTCGAATAGGCAATTTAAATTAGTTCAAGCTTCTGCTTGACATTTACATTTTTAGTCTTAAGCTATTTCTGGCCATGCGGAAAAAAATAAATATATATACAGACATGTAATTGGATGATCTTTGAGTCTTATTTAGATAAGAATTTGCATTGGATTGTGGCGTGTTTGTTTTGTGAGGCCTGCAATTTTGCATGCGAGCTGTGAACTTTGATCGTATCTTATCGCACGAGCTGGATTTAACCAATCGTATAATGATTAAGCACACAACGAGTAGAAGGCATCATGTCATTTTGTTAATCGTCAGGTTTGCTTATCGGCTTTATCACTCTTATTTGACTTAACGCAGATTTATATCAAATAACAATGGCCTATGCCTACTGGAAGTCGGGCAAAACGGACGATCAGGCGGTCTTTGATCTCTTCTTTCGCAACAATCCATTCCATGGCGAATTTACCATATTTGCCGGCCTAGAGGAGTGCCTCAAGTTCTTAGACAGCTTTCATTACTCGCAGAGCGGTAAGTTTATCAATTAATCGTACTTCATTTTATATTCATAAAATTGTTTCCTCATAGATATTGATTATCTGCGGCAAACACTGCCCGAGGGCATTGAGAATGAGTTCTTTGAGTATTTGGGCAATTTGACAGCTCATGATGTTACGCTTTATGCCATTGATGAGGGCACTGTGGCATTTCCCCGGTGAGTTGATCGATAAGGTTGGTTTTTAGGCTCAGCTTAAGTTAAAAGGCGCTCTTAACATGACTGTTAAGTTCTTAACTTGTCTGCTAAATGCTTAACATGCCTGTTAAAGCATCAAAACTTTGATAGTTTCGCTGTTTACATCATTTTTAAACTGTGATTCTTATTATTCTGATATCCACTGTAAGATACAGAATTATCATGAATCTTGTTTTTTATAAATCTTTGCATCCTCATATAAATTATATGATACAGCGTGCCCATCATAAAGCTTGAAGGACCCTTGATAATTGTACAACTGCTGGAGACAACGCTGCTCACGCTCGTGAACTATGCCAGGTGAGTGAACAGTGATATCTATATGGGAATCTCTTATTTAATTGTATTTTATTACCCAGCTTAATGGCGACAAATGCAGCGCGCTATCGCATGGTGGCTGGCAAACACGTTAAACTGCTGGAGTTTGGGCTGCGTCGAGCGCAGGGACCGGACGGAGGACTATCCGCATCAAAGTATTCCTATACAGGTACAGAAACTACGACGATTTTGCCGTGACAACTAAGGTCAAACGTGTGCGATATGGATATATATTTATATTCTTTTTCGGCATTGCCAAATTGCATGCACCTGGCTCGTAATCAATTAAAAGACAGGCCCCAAAAACGCCCCACATGGAAGATTGCCTCAATTTTGCCTTCGCATTGATCCATGCAGCGGAACTTGGGGCTTGGATAGTCAGTCGGCAATGTTTCATATAGCTTGTTCTGGTCTTTTATGATGTGCTTGCATGCAAAGCACGTGTCACTGTCACTCGATGTGGGCTCCAGCCTTGTTACGCCCAGCTGGTGGTACGCTCTATTCCTCCACCATATCTCCATCTGTAAAGTTCAAGAACTGTCCATGTTGTATG